AGAGAGAGAGAGAGAGAGAGAGAGAGAGAGACTCTTGAGAGAGAGAGAGAGAGAGAGAGAGAGAGAGAGAAAGAGAGAAAGAGAGATCTTCTTCTTCTTCTTCTTCTTCTTCTTCTTCTTCTTCTTCTTCTTCTTCCTCTTCTTCTTCTTCTTCTTCTTTGTGCGCACCCTGCAGCGGGGCGCGCCGTGCGAGCACGCGGGACAGCGGCCCCGCGCTGCTTTGCGGCCGCCGCACGGCCGTCGCCATCGCCGCCCGCAGCGGTTTCAAGCGCGCGGCGTTTTTAGTGCCCGGCCGCGGCTGAACACGGCCGAACGCGGCCGAACGCGGCCGAACGTGGCCGAACACGACCGAGTGCGGCCGAACACTGCCGAGCGAGGCCGAACACGGCCGACGGCGGCCGGGCTGAGCTGCCCGCCTCGGAAGGCCGGTTGAGGGCGGCCGGCTGGGGTGCTGGTGGGCCGTAGCCTGGAACGACAACAGGGGGACAAGGCGGTAGGAGCGGCGGGGGCGTCGGGGTGCAGCGACATCGAGGGGCGCTATATCGACGGTGCGGCACGGGCAGACGACATCGAAGATCAAGGTCACGACTTGTTGGATCGTGGTGGGGGGGCGATGACGGGGGGTGAAGGGAACAGTGGTAAGGGGGGGTCTGGGGGTGCCGAATTCGACCTGGTGTCCGAGAAAGAGATGGCAAAGTTGAGGCGAGGGAGCATTGTTTGGAACTACGTCACCGTGGGCCAGTACGTCGGGGACCAGTCAAAGATGCACGGGGACCGAAAGTTGCGTTGCAACTTATGCGGCCACCTGTTTCAAGGGGGGTCGTCGAAGGCCGTGCATCATTTCACGCAGTCGAAGTTCTGCAAGGCGGGGGGGATGAGAGTTCTCGCGGAACTCTGGAACGACACGGACTACACATTTGTGTTGTCCACTGCTCAGTGGGTGCAGAGGTGGATGGCAGACGAGGGCATACGGGACACGAGAGCGCCCGCGGGTGGCCAGAGACAGCGGATGGACGACCCAGAGAGGGACGACATTCAGGACGGCCTCGATGAGGAGGAGGGCCGCGAGGGTGGGGCCAGGGAGGGGGCGGTTGTAGACGAGGCAGACGAGGCAGTCGGAGAGCCTAACCTGCCAGGGGAGGAGGTGGTGATGACGTCGAGAGGCGTCGGTGGAGCAGGTCTTGCTACTACGGCGCCGCGAGGTGAGGTGGCCCGCTCGAGGAGGGAGAAGAGGACAGTGGGGCAGGCTGGCGTCGAGGTGCCAGACACGGGCAGGGAGAAGAGGGCTCGGCAGACCACGATTGTCGAGATGTACGCCAGGGAGAAGTTGGCCGAGTTCCATGATGCGTGGCTTCAGTGGATCTACGTGAAGAAGTTGCCATTCAACGCCTTTCGAGGTCCGGAGTTCCAGAGGGTGTGGCAGGCAGCAGAGAGAGTGCCTCGCTCTATCCAGTTTCGGTTTCCCTCCTTCACGGTTACAGCGGGGGCCGGTATCCCTTCGCAGAGGGCGAAGGTGGCGACGATGGTGAGCAAGGTGCGCGCCACTTTCCGGCACAGCGGTGCCACTATCCTTTCCGACGGGAGGAAGTCGCGCAGCGGCAAGCGGCTCGTGAACTTCCTGGCAGGGGGCACCAATGGCGCCCTGCTGTACGCCACCGTCGCACGTGATGGGTCGGTCCGAGACACAGCGGACGTCGTGTACCGTAGGTGGCCGGCCATCATCTTGTCCTTTCCTGCAAAGGACGTGATCGGCTTCTGCACAGATTCCGCCAGTAACTATACGGTGGCAGCGCGCAGGTTCGCCAGAGATCCCGAGCCTGACATCAGGAGGATCACTTGGCTCCCCTACTCCACCCATGTCTGCAACTTGATGTTCTCAGATATCGGGACGCGAGTGGTGTGGGTCAAGGAGACCATCATCCGCGCTCGAGCGCTTGTGCGATTTATTAAATCGCACAGCGCTGCTCACGCCCTCTTTAGGAAGGTGAGCCCTCGCGTTCAGCTCGTCGAGCCCGTTGAGACACGGTTTGCATCGGTTTTCCTGATGCTGACGTGTCTCAAAGGCCGACGAGACGTGTTGCAGAGCATGTTGCACGGGGATGCTTGGGCACACATCCCATGGGATCGCGCCCACGTATCTCAGGCGCAGTGGGTGCAGCAGCAGATCCGGGACGGGGAGTCTTGGCAGCGTGTCCATTACGCCATCCTAGTCATGTTGCCCGTCCACCAGCTGTTGCGCAGGATGGATAGAGGTGGGATGATGATGTCAGTCGTTTACGAGTGGAGTCAGCATCTGCTGCAGTTGATGAGGAGGGTCGACGTGCCTGAGGACATGATCGATCCGTGCGTGCGTGAGGTTGCCATCCGCAACCTCCACATGTTAGAGCCCGCACATGCCACATCCCACCTCCTCAACCCTCGCCGACGGTCCCTCACGTATTACCATTCGCTGCAGACGACTGCCGAGGACCGCCTTGTGGTCGAGGAGTGCGACAGATTTCTCCTGGCGCAGACCGGCGGCGATCCGGTCGGGTTATTGTACAGGACCGTGAGGGACCTGATGAGGGCGTTCCACTCAAGGCGAGGGGATTGGGGAGATCGTGAGCTCTCCGATATCGAGGCGGCAGATTGCAGGGGGGACAGCGAGACCGAGTGGTGTGCAGAGTGGTGGTTCGAGCATGGATGTGCCCACCCGGAGTTGCGCACCATCGTCATCCGTGTCATGCATTTGTGGACGTCTGCCTCTCCAGCGGAGAGGAACTGGGCGGAGCACAAGCGCGTTTGCACGGCGAGGCGCTGCAAGCTTGGGTTCGCCAAGCTTGCACAACTGGTTGAGATTGCCACCAATCTCAAACTGGCGTTGTGCGCACGGCAGGGTGGTGGCTACGTGTTGCCATGGGTTATGGGGAGCGGTCGGGGGGGGACGGCGGCAGAGGAGGAGGATGAGGAGGGAGATGTGGAGCCCGAGGTGTGGGGAGCGCGACCTGATGGCAGTGTTCCCGAGCAGGAGATCCAGCGGCAGATTGTCGCTTTCCGTGACAGCCGACCGTCCGGAGCCGGTTCGGTTCGGGACGTGTTCGGCAGCAGAGCGACGGAGCTGCGACCGTGGCCGGAGGGTGGGGATGATGTGGATGCTGCTGCGGCAGACGACGACACCGACGACGACTGGACTGACGATGATGACACGCCGCTGAGTCGCGACCCGACGGCTGAGCGAGTGTACTTCACTTACGGTGGGGGTTGTGACGACACATATTCATTCACATCAGTTATCACTGGTGTTGTGCCGTCGACCGGGCCGGCGAGTAGCAGCAGCAGAGCCGGCGGTGGTCATGGAGGACGTTCGCATGCGGAGGTTCGCGTGGATGACTCGGAGGAGCAGCAGCCACGGGGAGGTCTTAGGCACACACGCAGGCGTTGGGAGGTTAGGAGTGGCAGCGAGGCGGATGGGGAGGCGGAGGATGAGGAGGTGCACCTTCGCGATCGTAGCTTCTCTCCCTCCCATCATCCAATTTCTACACAGCCCGAGGGGGAGCCACTTAGGCGTTCGGAGAGGTTGGCGATGGCAGCAGGCAGAGACCGGACACATGACGACGAGGATCGTGGGGGGGAGAGGACTCCTTCCAACGCCAGTATCCGCCCCCGCTCGCCGTCGTTGCTCCGCACACAGGACTTCGAGGACATAGGACTTGGTGGGAGCTTGGCAGATTTGAGTGTCGAGGTACGTCGACGTGCCTCACTGCAGGATGTGCGCACAGACGCGGACGTTGAGCGGGGCCCTGTTGAGACTGAGGAGGAGAGGCATGCCCGTTTGGACCGAGAGGAGGAGGAGCGGCTAAGGAGTTTGCCACGGTGGGAGGGTCGGTTCGTGTATCTCGACGAGCAACATCGGCAGAGGGACTTGGAGACAGGAGGGGAGGGGAGTCGTGACGTCGACGACTCTGGTGTCCCTAAGGAGGCGGTTCAGGGCGAGTTCGATTATGAGGGGCAGGATGCCGTCGCGGGTGTCCCTGAGGGGCAGGATATTGTCATGGCGGTGGGTCCCCTAGTGGGGGCCGTGGCGACAGCGAGACCGCGGGTGATGAGGGACAGGGTGCCGCAGCGTGCGACAAAGGAGAGGGTGGACCTGGTGGAGATGGGGATACCGCGGGTGCCGGTGGAGACGATGGACCGGACAGCGACGATGACGACGACCACGGTCCGGAGGACGATCCAGATAGGCTTGCCTTGGTGTTGAGGGACCCCACAGTGCCTCCCATGCGTTCTGACGGCACAGCGCACACTTTCTTCGATGCCGATACTTTGGCGCATGCGTTGACGGATGACCCTTTCGCACACATGGGCCGCAAGAGCGGCAAGCAGTGGGCCCCTGGGAGGGTATATTCACCGCCGCCGTTCACAGTGCAGACCCCTCACTGGTCGGGTTCGTCGCTCAGCGGCGTTAGAGGGAGGGAGTCCGGTGCGGGTGAGGTGGGGTCCGGCAGACGCAGCGACGGCGGCAGAGATAGTACAGGATTGATGCCTCCACCACCCGCACAGACTCCGGAGGACACGGTCGACACCGGGGACCGGACGGTGGCACCCGGAGTTGCGCACAGTGGCGGTTCCCCGCCGCCAGTCCGAGGAGGTGTGGGTGGCGGATGGTCAGTTGTTCGTCGGGTCGGGGACCGGTTGCGGGCGGATTACGACAATGGGAGGGGCGTCTTCACGGGACGTGCGCCTGCTCAGACGCGGCCTGCGGAGGGCGGGTCCGGACGTCCGAGCCTGCAGATGGCAGGCCGCATGCTGGTTTGTCACGAGCGGAGACGAGGAGGACATTGGTCCTCGAGGCCCCAGGGACATCCACGGACAGGCTGCGGGGAGAGCAGTTCACATCGGGCGAGGAGGGGTTGTTGATGCATCCCGGGACGAGACGACAACATGGCCTCTCAGAGGTTGAGGCTCGACTCGCTGCAGGGGTCGCCGCTGGGCAGGCAGCGTTGGACGCGATTCAGAGGGAGAGAGAGAGGGGGATTGCTGCACAGGCGGAGGAGGACGAGGACGCAGACACTGAGTCTGAGCCGATCGAGACTGCGGCCGCGGCAGCACATGCGGCATAAGTCAGTGGGGCACGGGGCGCAGGTGGCCGCGGCACAGGTGGCCGCGGCGGCCGCTGCAGCACATGCGGCATAAGTCAGTGGGGCACGGGGCGCAGGTGCGGGAGGGAGAGGAGGGCGCCGGGGAGGATCATATGGTCGCGCGCGCTCTGGTGGGAGAGGCCACGCGCGCTCTGGTGGGAGATGATGACGTCCGTGGTGTATTTTTTTTTTTCATTAGTTTTTTTTTTTCCCCCCCCTTGGCTTTACAGCCTGGACACTCTGTCGGCAGGGTTGTAGCATATTTATGTCGATGTTGTTCCATGGAGACGACGATAGTATGTGGACATTAGGGTTTTTTTTTTTTTTTCTTGCTACTCGGTTGTACAGTAGAGACGACGCCTGTCGACGGGTCCAGTTTTTTTTTTTGGTACTATGTTGTGTAGCAGAGACGATGGGTCCAGTTTTTTTTTGCTACTCGGTTGTAGCGTAGAGACTACGGGTCCAGTTTTTGGCTTCAGCCTTGTACATACGCATTTCCATTAAAATGCTTTGTCATATATTTGCTCTTGTTCTTGTTCCTCCGCGAGCATTCGTCTTGCATATGAATCGCTGTTGTCTGGTGATTGTTTTCTGCTCTGTTGTCGTGAATGTTAGAAATTATGTGCTTCTCCGATGCCACGCACCTGCATGTCATGGATGCCTCCATTATGAATGTGCTGTTAATTTCAGATGCGACATAGGGATGATATGCTAATGAATGTGTTCTTACATAAATGATGTGCTAATGAATGTCCATCAGTCTCATGAGTGAACACACACTATGACTCACTTGCATGTTATCATTGTTTGAAACTTGTGGTTTGCCGCACTGTGATTGATTTGCAATGTGTTTTCACATTGGTATGCCAAACAAGGTCTGACTTATGATTGCCATGTTGTTTTAAAATAAGCGACGAACTGTCATCGCCCTCATTAATGAAACCGACGTCTACCTTTCAGTGCGTGAGGCCCTGATCCGCCTGGGGTCTGCCATCTGCAGCCCCGTCTAGCTTCGACCCGGACTGGCCGCACGGCTCGCCCCAACCAGGCCCTCATCCAACCCACACTGGGCCGCCCCCGCAGGGATCAAATATATATATATTTTTTTTCCACTGTTCCAGACCCTCCTCCCTGCGACCCTGCATCAACGAACCTGCTTACGGGGGCCGCTGGATTTTTCGCGGGCCACCCTTCCAGGGTCTTGTGCAGGACCCCCCCAATTTATTTTTTTTGACGCCCTGTCACTTTGAGGGGGTGCCCCCCCACCCCCGCACCCCCCCACCCCAAACCCGCACCCCGCTCCCAAAACCGCCCCCCAGATCGGCCGACATCACGGCCGAAAAAACTCGGCCGCGGCCAGCGTGCAACATAGCTGGTAGGAAGACCGTGATGGATGGCAATACGGTTGAAGTAAAGGGAGACGATGTCTTTGGCTGAACTAGCATACGTGCATGGGAGGAAGTGAGCATGCTTAGTCAACCGACAGACAACGACAAAGATGGCGTCATAGCCTCGTGGGGTAGGGGGACGAAGAGGACCAATGAAGTCCATGGAGAGAGAAGTCCAACGCTGAGTAGGAATGGGGAAGGGCTGGAGACGACCATAGGGGGGGTGGTTGGGAATCTTGGCTTCCTGGCAGATCCTGCAGGTGCAAGCGTACTCCTTAGTGAAAGGACGACAGTGCTCCCAGTAGTAATAGCGGTAGAGGCGGTGAAGTGTCTTGAAGACACCGAGATGACGCGGCGCACTGGTCATGACACTCAGCGACGGCCCGAACGTGGAGCTGGCCAGTAGAGGGCACGCATAAACGGGGAGTACGAGTACCTTGACGACCAATCCAATATAGGAGTCTAGAGGGATCGAGCTGGAAGTTAGGGACGGACTTGACAGCCTGTAGGTCAGAGTAGATGGACTGAAACTCAGGGCACTATGTGTATGCGCGACGGTACTCATCCAGAAAGGCGGGGTGGATGGTGGGAGTTGAGATAGCAGATAGCTGACGATCCTCGCACTGAAGGTCGGGGCGGCGGGATAAGGCATCTGCAACACGATTGCTTTCGTCGGGAATCTTCTTGATGGTGAAGTCGAACTCCGAGAGATCACGCCACCAACGAGCCTGACGAGAACTGAGCTTAGGCTTCGTCTGGAAGGCGGCGAGGACAGAGTTGTCCGTCAAAACGGTGAAAGTATGACCGTGCAAGTGATGACGCCACTTCTGAACAGCGTAGACCAGCGCAAGGACCTCACGTTCGTCGGCTGTATAGATAAGCAACGGGACACTCTTCATCGCGAGACTCGACTGTACCGTCATCAGCGACGTCAGGAATGTAAGGGGGAGGGGCCCCTGGGGGGGTGGGCTTGATGGGTGCAAGAGGAGCCGCTGTCATTGGAGGTGGAGGAGGGAAGCGAGGAATGCGAGGGAGGCGGGACTCTGCGGAATCAGGAGAAGTAGAGGGGGCTGGGTAGATCTGGGAGAAAACAGCTCCAATAGCGAGGTCAGATGCATCGGTGGTGACGATGAATGAACGCGAGTAGTCAGGTAACTTAAAGTGTAAGACAGGAGCTGACATGACAAGTCGCTTGAGAGAGCGGAAAGCATCCTCGTGAGCCGGGGTCCAATGAAAAGTTAGACGTCCGCGGGTCAGAGGGGTAAGCTGGGAAGAATATTGCGCGTAGTTTTTAAGAAAATGACCATAGTAGTTGGTCAACCCAAGGAAACTACGCAGCACAGGAAGAGAAGTAGGAGTGGGCCAGTCGACAATGGCCTGAATCTTCGAGTCGTCCATGTGGAGTCCGTGCTCGGAGACCGGAGGCCCAAGGAAGTCGGCTTTTGGTTGAGCGAAGTGGCATTTGGAGAGCTTCGTATAAAACCCATGGTCGCGTAACCGCTGGAGGACAGTGCGGAGGTGGGTCAGATGCTCCTCTGAGGTACGATTGTAGACCAGGATGTCGTCGATGTAGACTAGAACCGAGTCCTCAAGAAGGTCTTGGAACATAGTGTTCATAGCCGTCTAGAAGGTGGCAGGGGCATTACGAAGACCGAAAGGCATGACGGTAAACTCGTAGTGCCCAAAACGAGCGGAAAGCGGTCTCAGGCTGGTCCTCCTCGGCTACGCGGATCTGGTGATATCCGCTACGAAGATCGATCTTCGTGAAAAAGTGGTGGCCGGAGAGGCGGTCGAACAGATCATCCGCGCGGGGCATAGGGTAACTGTTCCAGCCGTATATTCGTTGAGACCGCGGTAATCGAGGCAGAGGCGGAGAGTGTCGTCCTTCTTGCGATCGAAGAGGACAGGTGCACTCCATGGGGATGCCGTCGGTTTAATGAAGCCCTGACGAAGCAACTCGTCAATTTGACGTTTAAGTTCCTGGGCTTCGGGGACCGAGAGGAGGTATGGGGCGCGATGCTGAATACGGTAGTTAGGTTCGAGCCGGATCTGGTGCTCGATATCGCGCGTAGGAGGGATGCTGCTATAAGAGACAGTCGGAGGAAAAACGTTGCGATACTCGCGAAGAAGGGCCGCAACGCCAGGCTGCAAAGTCGATATGAGGTTGTCAAACTCCTCTGCTGCAGCGGCGTCTGAAGCAGGGGTGGAAGGAGTCGGTATGGGAATAGGTACCGATGGCGCCTCCGTGGTACAAGATGCAAGAAGGTGAGATGAGGTAGCAGGGGTGAAGGGGGATGAGGGGGTTGAAGGATCAGGGGGCTCGGGGGGCTCAGGGAGTGGTGGGTCGAGCTCAACCAACTCAGCGTCCTGATGCATAAAGTTACAAACAAGGAGATCCATGATGTCGACAATGTAGAGTTCGGCATCAGGCTGACGAAGGATGTGGTGGAACTGAGTTGGTGTCAAGATGGCAACATTGACAGGAGAGGGGGATGTACAGTCTTATTTGCCCAACAACGGAATACGGTATTGCTTCCCATGCTTGGTGTCGAGGACGAGGTCGTTGTGGGTCCAATCGGGGCCAGCATGGGCGAACTGATGGGAATAGGCAGTGTCGAGAACAAGATCATATAGGGTTTCCAAGACGTCGAAGGTCCACTGGTCATGGAACCGAGGGGCCTTGCGAAGGCTGTGGGGCATCCGTAAGGGGAAAGAGAATGGAAGATCAGGCACCACCGAATCAACGAATGATTTGGCCTGATTGTCGCCAAGCGTGACAGTGACAGTGGAAGGGTAAGCGAATGTATAGAGAGATGCCTCCTTGACTACGCGAGGATGAATGAAGTAGCCAGTAGAGCCAGAGTCTCATAGTGCGCGATACACTCTAGTAGAGGTCCCGAGGCGCACTAGAATAATCGGTAAGGTGCGATCGGGATTGTGAAGGTGCTAAGACATCGCAGACAGGGTACGTTCTTTAAGGCGGGGACGTTCCTAGTGGACCTTAACACACTCAAGGTCCAGGAAGTCAATGATATCCTTGGCTGCAATAAGGGAAGCACTGCAGCGGGCCATGCGAAGAGCACGCCTGGTAGGAGGACGTGGAGGAGGGGGGTCACAAGGGACGCTAGGCAAGGGAGAAGAAGGCATACCAGTGTCGATAGGGTGACCAACGGATAAGGTTGGATCAGAGTCATCGGAAAGGGTAGCAAGCGGTGCAAAGGTAAAGTTGTGAACGGGTATGCCTGCTACCGTAGGAGAGTGAGGGGAATGGGACATCGTAGCTAGGTAGTTGCTGCGCTGGGAGTCGAGACGGGGGGAACAGCCTGCGGGCAAGCCTGCTGTGCGAAGTGACTTTCGAGGGCGTGTGCATACGGGCAGGTAGAGGAGGTATGCCCAACAAGGCGGCGGCGGGTGCAGATGCCTCATGTGCAAAGGTCCTCACTCTCAGCGATGGTCAGGCGGCTGCGAGGGAAGACAAAGCCCGTTGGGAGGGGTAATTGAGTGACCGTAGAGCTAGTCTTGGAGGATGAGGGATGACGTCGGAAGAGGGCGGAAAGGGCCCGGACAAGACGGTCGTCATGGGGAGAGGCGTCGTCCTCCGTGGGGGACTGGGGTTGGGTCCCTAATCTGGGTCACTCGCAGAATCATCTGAGGCAGTGCCATCATCAATGCTCGACGGGTCACGAAGCAGCACATGCAAGCGACGAGAGAGGGATCGTCCAGAGCCTCTACGAGGGCCACAACAGTATGTAGAGGACTGTCGAGGCTGGGAGGGGCGAGAGGCTGCAGTAGTAGCAAAGTGGGCAGCGGCGGGCTGAGACACGGGGCCAACTAGTGGGGCATAAGTGAGATGAATGTCCCGAGCAATGTGGAAAGCCTCAGGCAAGGTTGGGATCGAATACGCCTGCATCTGCAGCTGGAATGGTTGGGGTAGGCCTGCCCGGAATCTCTGGATCATGGCGTCCTCGGATATGGCTGTGATGGGAATCTGAGCGCGCACACGGTGGAATGTCGTGATGTATGACTCTAAGGCATTGTCACCACCAAGCTATATAATCTCAGCCACACGAATAATTGGGTCGCGGGTGGGCGCAGGGCGAGAAAAGTACTGCTGAAGGAAGTCGCGAAACTCGGGAGAAGACATGCCCTCATGTACGCCGCGCTGTGAGCGAAGGGCGAGGAAGTCGCGCCAGGTGGAGGCTGCACGGCCTGTAAAGCGAGAGGACATCTCGACGGGCCACAGTTCCATGGCAACACCATGCTAGCGGAGCTGCTCCTCAACAGTAGTGATCCATCCTTGGAGCTCGGAGGACCTACCGTCAAACTGTGGGACGTGATCCCGTCGAAACTGTGGAACATACGTTGGTGGTTGATAA